TGCCGCTTGCCAGCTACGCCTCGGCCGGCGCAGGGGGCGGAACCACGCATGCGCGGCGCTCCCGGGCAGGGAAAGTCCTCGACTTACGACCGGTTGGGTAGTCCTCGACTTACGACCGGTTTAGTCCTCGACTTACGACCGGTTTAGTCCTCGACTTACGACCGGTTGGGGTCGCGGCATTAAAAAGGTTGAGAACCACGGGTTTATGAGAAAGCATACTTTGAAAATCAGAGAAGGCTGTACCAATCAGCTGATTAGACTTCTGAGCACTAGAAAAGTTTCGCAACTCCCTGCAGCTTTCATTTTACAGAACTCGTCCCCTCCTCCCCCCCCCCCGCCCTCTTGAACATCTTGGCTTTCATGGCCAATTCCTTAGAAAACTCGTGGGGGAAATTCCTCCTCCTCCTCCTCCTCCTTCCTCCCTGGCGCCTTCTCCGCCTCCAAGGCGTTCGCCGGGCCACGGGGGAGGGCTGACCGGCCCAGGCGGGGAGTGCCGTTTGCCGAGCTGACCGCCCCGCGGGGGCCTTTTCTTCGGAACAATTTGCAAGCCCGTCACATCCGCTGGGAAGTTGCTCGGCCCGCGTCTGGCAGACAAGAAGGCGGCGCGCCCCGCAGCGGTAACCCAAGCCCCGAGACGCTTCGAGCTCCGGCAAGAAACTTCCTTTCTCGGGGCGGTCAAGGGACGGCCATGCGGGAAGGAGCGCCATGAAGCCGGGCAGCCCAGGCTCCTTCCTCGCCTCCCACCGCCGCGGCCGCTTTGAGGAGCAGCAGCGCAGGGGCAGGCAGCGGCTCCCTCCTCTCTAACCGCGGCCGGGATGTCGCGGGCGGCTGCCTGGGTCCCGCTGCTGCTCCTGCTCCTGCTAGCAGCGGCGGAGCGCGGCCGGGCTCGCTTCACCTTCCGCCTCCAAGTGTCTTCCCCGGGAACCCCCGAGGGCAGCCTGGTTCCCACGCCCGTGTTGCCAAAGTCGCGGAGCAGCGGCGGAACCGACAGCCCGCCGGCGCTCCCAGAAGCCTCGGGCTTGGCCTTAGCGTCGGCTCCCGGCGTCGGCTCCCTCAACTTTCTGGCCATGGTGGACAATCTGCAGGGAGACTCGGGACGCGGCTACTATCTCGAGCTGCTCCTCGGCACCCCGCCGCAGAAGGTAGGGGCGGCGCTGGTGGAACCACCGAGGGAGGTTTCCTTATAAAGTGTGTGGCTTCGCGCTCGGGACGGCAAAAGTCTCTTTTCCGCCACCGCAATCCTGGAGCGGAGCTCTCCCTTTCCCGGGCGATTCAAGGACCCGGGCGCGGCCGGCTGGGGGGGGGGGGAAGGTAATACAGGGCTTAAGGCAGCCTTCGTCAACCGGGCGCTCTCCAGGCGTGCTGTGGCTTTAAGCCGCTTTGGTTCCAGTCTGTCCCGGTTGGGGCAGACTGGTTTAATGCGTCCGAAGGCTGTTGTGAGAAATAGATGGGGCTTTCTGAAGTACTTCGGAGTACCTAAGATCCGACTGATCTTGCTACTTCGAGGCTAACTCCGATGCTTCCGGGAAGCCCATGGATTTCCAAAGCTGTAGTTCTTTCTGCTGTTCCTTTTTTATTTATCTGGAGCAGTGTTTCTCAAGCTTGGCAACTTGAAGAGGTATGGACTTCAACTCCCAGAATTCCCCAGCCAGCATAGCTGGCTGGGGAATTCTGGGAGTTGAAGTCCATACCTCTTCAAGTTGCCAAGCTTGAGAAACACTGATCTGGAGGATTCGGTAAATGGTCAATAGCTTCAAGTTTTAACACTCCATTATGTCTCCTTGAATGCCTTTGTTCAATCTGATGCTATTGTCGTTCAACTTTATTTGGGGTTTTAAAACAGGCATTTTTAAAATCAGTTACTCACATTTAGTTATCTCTCTATAAATAGGTACCCAAACCATCCCCCCTTTTTTTTAAGTCTGAGGCTTTGCAGAGAAATGATCAGAACTTTATACTGTATCACTTAATTGTATTGGGTGGGGTGAGGCTGTAATTAAAACTGTTTCCTCTTTTTGGGTGATGTGTCTCTTTTCAAAGTGATGGCAGAAATCATAGTAGAAGTCTATTGCACTATATACTTTTTAATATACTGTTAATGCATCTGAAAAACAGACGGGAGCAATTTTTGGCTGGGGGAGTTTTTAGTGCCCAGAAAAGTAAAATATTATTTTCATTGCCACAAAAAAACTGCTTTTCCCCACCCCTTACAGTGTTGAATGTGCACGGCTCGTGATGTTTTCCGAATCTGGAACAGCTCTATAATATTTCAGAATAACCTGAATCCTGGAATTCATTGTGTTTGTATGTTTGCATGAGTGACTTTTTGAATCACAAGCCCTGACCTTGCTATAGCATTTGCTACTTCTGAAATAAGGAACAAAGGATCTTTCTATAACTATGGAGCAAAATCCTGGTGTGGATGCTGATTCCATGCGGCTTGCTGATTGTGTAACTGTAGGCATTCTATTGCCATTGTAGGTTTTACAGCTGACGCATAAGCACAAAAGTGCCTCAAATGTGAGGTAAGCTTTTCCTGTTGATAGGACAGTTCATGTTTGTCCCCGACACTCCTTTTTCCCCACCCTGTGCCAGGCTGGATTCTGGCCAGGTTGCACATCCTGCTAAGCCCGAGAAAAGGAAAAAAAAAAAGACAAAAAGAGATCAAACCATATTATGGCTTAGACACTGCATGACCTACGTTTCTGTGCATGTGGGTAGAGAGTATGTGGTCTGTATTTCACATCAACCCACTTACAGGAATTTGAATTCTAACTCATAAGCACAGAACCCTCACAATCTGACCTTTGTGCTTACTGACGTCTGTCTGCGAGCCAATGGGCTAAAATCTTTCAACTTTATTGTGTTTGTGAGAATATTGAGAAAATAATTTCATAATTGTTAAGGCAAGGTTTGTTTTAATTATGACTTGACGAATGAACTACAATGATGTGGTTTTCACGTTCTGCCGAGTCATGCATATACATTTTTTTCTAATTTTTGGAGTGCCACGAATCCTATTTTTCTGTCACATCTGAAGTCTGGAACAACATCCACCCACAGATTAATTTGGTCTTCATTCTGACTTTGTTCAAAATTGCTAATAAAACTACAATGATGTGGTTTTCACGTTCTGCCGAGTCATGCATATACATTTTTTTCTAATTTTTGGAGCACCACGAATCCTATTTTTCTGTCACATCTGAAGTCTGGAACAACATCCACCCACAGATTAATTTGGTCTTCATTCTGACTTTGTTCAAAATTGCTAATAAAACTTGATTCTTCTCCCAGGTCTTGGGCTAGTGGCCTCTTGTATGGTGTGTATATTTTCTAGAAAAGTTTTTTTGGGGGGAGGGGGAGGATCAATTGTCTTTTATTTGTATTTTAAATTGTTTTACTATTGTGCACTTGCCCACTGTCGCAATAGAATTAGGTGACCTTATAATTTTATACAGTGTTCTAAACATGAGGGGGCCAAGACCAAACTAAACTTGATTTTTTATTTACATTTTAATTGAAATGTATTGTACCTCATATGATTACTCTCTGAATTATGTATTTAATCATTTTGCCCTTCTGCTTAATTAAAAAATTACAATTTGATAACCGTTCTTAGAAGTCTGCACACAATTCTCATGTGTTAGGATCTGCACTACAAATTTAAATCATGAACCACAGTTCACTAACTATAGTGGCTTAGTTCATACAGCATGTCAAGCCAAAACCAAACAAATCATGAAAGATATAAATTCAGCCTTTATGTGAAAGAGTTGCAAAGATATCAAACTTGTGCATTTCCTGGAAGGCTGTTGAAAAGTGACAATTTTTGCTTTTAGTGATGGATTGTTACTTAGTTACTACAAACTTTGGTAAATTTTCAGAAAGAAATGTCAAGTGAGGGAGTGCTTGTATTCATGTTAATCCTACCCTAGATCTGAATAATGTGATAAATTCTGTTTAATCCAGTAGAAGCTTTTGAATTCTTTGCAATTGTGAGCCCACGGCACTGATTCATTGCAACAAGATCTTGGACTGGAGGCTAGATGTCCTTGAAAGCAGCATAATGGGATGTTTACAGAGTAGGCAACCCTACGTTGTTTATATCCTTTCAGCCCATATAAGTTCAGATGAACGCCTGGATTACATTATGAAGAACCCTTTTCTGGGTGCCAGCAATGCCATTTCCCAGAGAATTCCACCTCTTCTTCTCTCCAACAGTTCTGGGATCATAGTAAAGATTGTTATCATGCTGGTAATATAAAAAAACAATGAGAGTTATAGTTGATAGTGTTGGTTTGAAACTAGAAAAGGCTGATCTATGTGATAAACAATGAAGGATATGGGTGAGAAATTATCCCAATTCAGATATTTATCATTTGCTACTAGTTTGCAAAATGTCTGGGATCAGAGTTTCTTTGCAGAGTAGAGATGATCCATAACTATCCAGGATGATAAAATAAAATAGAAATTGCTGCAAATCAACTGAGTGACTCAGTGAAAATTATAACTTTTATCTTTCCTTTGCAATTCTTTAGAAACACTGAATTAAAAGAACTTTCCTAGAAAAAAAAATAACTTATTGAACATTACTACTGCTATTTTTGCAGGGGTGTGGGGTGCAGTTCTGTACACATTTATCTAGGAAATAAGCCTTACTTGATTGTGGACCCTACTTTTAAACAGACTTTCATAGAATGGCATTGCTAAAAAAAAAGTCTTAAATGTTGGATACAACATATTAAAATATCCCTATAAGTTTAAGAATGTAATAGCAATATAGTTCTGTTTGCATTTGTTCAAAAGTAAGGGTTTTTAACAACTCCAGTAACAGTTACTCCCTAGGTAAATATGTCATACAGCTGCAGCATATGACTTTATATTAGTAGTAATGCTGAATACGTTATTTTTATATGTCGCACCCACACACACACCCAAACATACTTAAAATTTATAAGATATCTAAATATTTAACTATTGTTTAAATAGAGCAATAAGAAGTAATCTATTCTTCTTCTACACAGAAATATGCAAACTGCATTTAAGAAGATTACATCTTTAATACAGTATAAATATTTTTTTTTCTTAGAAGTTTTATCAGAAACTGGATATTGATAAACTGGGGGAAAAAACCTCAGTAATTTATGTATGTATGTATGTATGTATGTATACTTGAATACTTTGAAGTTTAGAAACTTAATTATTTTTCTCTGTGTCATGAGATTGCATGTGAAGAAATAATGTCTCATTGGGCAGGATGACTAGTCAGATGATGAAGATAGACTTATTAATCCTCTGAATGTTCACAGTCCTAAAGTGCATAATAATCAGTTGTGTTGGTTCGAAAGAAGAATTTTGAAGAGCTGAGCCTTATTTCCTGAAAGCCTTCAGGGCTTAAAATGTTCATATACTTTTTTCAAATATAATGGTTCTTTGTAATATTTCAACGGATCATTATAGGACATTGCTGATATAAAGCGGGTGGAAGTGAAGAATGGAGAATCTTCTTCCTCTATTTCAGTTTTGCTCTGTTCCATTAGCTTTTAATATCCTTTTGACTAAAGTGGTGGTTGTGTTCCTTCTCGCATGATTTGGTACATTTGTCTTACCGTATAGTTTTTTTCTGTTTTTTTATGGTTTTGAACATAGGCTATTGGAAAAGGTTTTCCACTGAATTACAAGCATGCAATTGTCACTGTTCTTCAATTTGTTAAATATTTTTTTACAAAATTGCACCCACTGTTTGGGATTACTTCTACCAATGAACAAGCTGGAAAGTTTTGTTTTGTTTTTTTAACCAAAAAAAAGTTACTTTTCCATTCTTTTTTGGTTGAAGAGGCTGGTATGGACAAAGGAATGCTGGAGAAAATGCCTTGTGAGTCCTTTGGAGGATTTGGATTTTAAAGCCATAGTATGAATATTTGAAAGGATTATTATTATTTTTTGCCAAGATACTGCTGAAATATTTCTAAATACTTAGTGTAGGAGGAAGGGCATCTGTAGCCTTTTGGATCTTCAAAAAAACTACAACTCTCAGCAGCCCAGTCAACCTGGTTAATGCTGAGGAATACTGGAGAACCGTAGTTCCTTCCCCTCTGAGCTAGAAACCGTGTGCCCTCTTTGTAATTGATTTCCCACATGG